TTTTTGTGCTCAGAGGAGGTCCTTGACAATTTTCTTTAACTGTACTCTTTAATTGAAAACATTTTTCAGGTCTGCTCTGTTGGCTGTAAATGCTGGTTATATTTGGCGTTGCAGTTTATTGTTTTAAATGGGTAGTTCTCAAGGGCATTGGGCTCGTGTCCCCACACACCCTCTGTCCGTCCTCTCCCAGGTCCTCGGGTGACGCTCCCTGTGCCAGGTGAGGACAGGCCCTGCTGGTTTCACTAGGTCTACAGCTGAGAATGTTGAGCCATTGTCTTTCCTTCTCTGGTGTGGTTTAATCTCAGCCTCTTCAGGGTGTCCCTGCATGTGTCCTCCTGAAGCCCTGGCTGCTCCCCATGTCCGCCCACTGGTCTGGTGTTTTGGGGTGATCTCCTTTGGGGATGTTTTGAAATGGCTCTCATGGTGTCCCCTGTAGAAGGTCACCTGGGGCCATCTGAGTGAAGAACAGGGTCATGGTGTCCCCTGTAGAAGGTCACCTGGGGCCGTCTGAGTGAAGAACAGGGCGGGGCCAGGTGTAGACTGAGATCTCTCGGCCCGTGACCTGAATATGAACTGCTGCCTTTGACCCCTGGGCACAGCGGGCAGTGCCCTCCTGCTGCCCTGCCTTCTCCCCAGTGCACGCTCACAGGGATGAGCTTGCAGGGATGAGGCGAGGCCGTAGTGCTGGGGAGCTGGTCCTCTGGAGAGCACAGTTGCTTTGCCGTGGCCCTTGCCCCACACAGTGTGATCATGTGCTCACTTTGTCTTGCTGTTGCACTCACTGAGGCCCAAAGGGGTCATTGGTGCAAGATGATGTGACTGAGGGTGGTGGGCCACAGGAGAGTCCAGGGGCGTCAGACCTGATGCCCAAGGCTGGCAGTTTTGCTCAGTAGTGACCTAAAATCACTTTCTTCCTATAAGATAATTCTTTTGGATGCCGGAAGAGTCAACCTGGGATCATAATCTTTATCAGTGGGTCCGGAGTGCGCTTGTCCTCTGTGATTCAAGATGAAAAGGCCTCCCCTGTCACAGACTGAAGTTATTGCTGCCTCCAGGACACATGGCTGTAAAAGGCCCTCTTGTGAAGTCCTCTCTCCAGCTCTGCTATTTAAACAATGCATTGCTTTGTAGAACCCTCTTCAGTAGTTGGTTTTAGAACCTTTATGGAGAGGAAAGATTTCCCCACACTCTCCCCATCGTAAAATCTGGTCAATCATTTACAGCATCGAACTTTGGAGCAGCAACTGTCTTTCTGGCGCACCCACGCCGTGGCTGAGTGTGACGTGTGTCTGGTTGATGGCCCTGACTCGGGTGACCGTGGCCTCTATCTTGCAGGGAGTCCCTGGAAGCCCTCCTACAGAGGGCTGTGGCCCACTGCCCCAAAGCGGAGGTGCTCTGGCTCATGGGCGCCAAGTCCAAGTGGCTGGCAGGGGATGTGCCCGCAGCAAGGAGCATCCTGGCTCTGGCCTTCCAGGTGGGTGAGGTCGCCTGTGCGGTGAGGGGCCTGTGCACACAGGAGCTGACCTGGGTGCTGACTGAGGCCTGAACATCTCCCACATACAACGTGGCACGTGCTGTGGCTGGGTGCACTGGAGTCCAGGGGCTGCTCCTCGGGAGCAGGGGCCGTGAAGGGGCCTAAGAGCAGGAAAGCAGCCTCCTGGCAGATACGTACCTCTTGGCCCCCGACGCCGTGTGACCACGGGTAAATGTTTCAGAGTGTAGAGCATGGGGTCACACGGGCTGAGGGTGCCCTTACGTGAGTGGACGCATTCAGACAGCCTCGCTGAGCCGGGTTGTCTGAGGGTGCCTGGTTGTCATGAGGTGTGTGTGTGTTTTTTAAGTCCTTGTCTTTATTTTCACATATAGCATCCTAATACTTCATGACATACTTTTTAATAAACTGTAGAATGCTGTATAAATGTCAGTTACTGCAGCGCAGGCTAATGTCATAGAGCGTGCCCTTCCTTGAGCAAACAT